ATTGGGAGAACTTAATGTTTGTTGACCACCTGGAAACAATCACCCGTGAAAATACGGCCGCAGGATACACCAAATCACTCGTGAAAATAACTTCCATATGCAACGAAAGCCATGGGGAGGGTGTGGGGTTCTGTCATAGTATGTAGTGGTTGTACTTCGTTTCTTCTGATAACTGACAAACTTTCGTAGAAAATGGAGACTAGTGCATTCGTCTCATACATAGCTATGAATTAGGTTATTTCATGCATTCATAATAAGATTTCTTGTACATTGTATGAACATTACATTTTTTAACTGAATGTATTCTGCGTTTTTTATAGTATTGTCGCAGTCATTTCGTGGTGTTCCCATAGATACTGTGGTTTTGGAAGGAAATGAGGTAATGTTGAATTGTAGTTGGAAAGATTTTGAAAGCACCGCTACAGTCGCATGGAACAGAGTGCAATTATCGTTGTACCTGGGTAACAAAGCAGGCAAACTTTACGCTGATCCTGAGTTTGATGATTGTTGCGAGATTGTCGGTAATACGCAAAACAATGACTTTACGTTAAAGATAAGAAATGCTAACTTTGATGATATGGCGATATGGAAATGTTCCTACTCTGGAACAATCCTTCTGGAAGAAGAAGCTAAAATAACAGTTTTGGGTAAGTGCTATTATAATATTTGTACTTTTTATGAAAGTATAACTGATACTTAGCGATGATCACGCGACAATCCGTGTGATATTTCCCATTCCCTGCCTTACCAGGTAAAAGATCATGAATAAAACAATATAATATCACTGAGTTGTTCTGCAAAAACGTTTTATTATGCAAAAAATCTTGATAGATATGTGCCGCCAGACAAATCATAAATGATTTTTGTCGGTGCTACTGTGTAATGCTTTTTGATTTAAAAATGTAATTTAAAAAATAATTCTGTTATGTATTTTGTTAAAGATGCTAATTGTCTGCTTGTAAAACTGTGAAATATAATTGTGAATACCCCCCCCCACACACACACACACACAACTTTCCAAATCATACAAAAGTGATTGAGACTGATATTTAATAAATATTTGAGAACAATATTTGAAAAAAAAATGTTTTTGCAACTGCAGTCAAATTACACCTAATCTATTTTTCGCTTGTCCTGAAAGCTGTGTTCTGCGAAGGTGTTGAAGGCCATTCAGGGTCAGCGTCTGACAACAACGCTGTACAGTGCAACTGTATGTTGAGTGCGTGTGTGGGAGGTTTTAATACTGTATTTTTAGTATTTCCTTTTATTTTCATTTTTTATTATTACATGTTTTTGACTTTATTGTACTTTTTGTCAAGATCTCAAATGGGATATGATAGCAATAAAGAATTACTTACTTACTTACTTACAAAGTGCCTATACAATATCATTGTGTTACCTTTGACCCTGTTTCATTTACCCAGATTAAACTGTTTGCTATTATGTCAGTTTTAGTTTACATAAAAAAGTTAAATGTAATAGTAGGGTGTGGAGTTTGTTCTACCCGGATTGTGTCTACCGGGAATGTTTTCTATATCATCACTTATATTACAATTTAAACAAAATGCTATATTACTGTGTAGTGTATTGCAATACTTGATGACCATGTAATTTTCAGGGACAATTTTATGATCTTGTTTTATACTGTAGCACACGAATCTACTGGAGTGTTTTTGTGAACGGCAGGTTGGCCCTGGATTCACGTGACTAATTGACGTAATTTTAAAACATATGACAATTCGTTCCAAATAGCGTTATTTCAAACAACACCACTTAGCATTAAGTAGTAATTATTCCTCGAGGCGTTATATTCGGACAACGAGTGAGCCAACAGCCAACATAGCGACAGACGTATTTAAAACTGTTGTGACGTTGCATCTCTTTCGCGGGCTGAAAATCGTTCTACGATTACATCACTTCCGCTTTAAGATCTCGTAATCGTGACAAGCACTACGGTTGACGCTGTGGCAAATCTTCCTACTTATAATTCATAATTGATATTGTTCTAGCATTTACTAATATTGTTGACGTTTATTATTTGGGCTTAAATGTATTATTCAAGATAATAAATGTTGTTGGATATCGATAATAAGGTGGTTTCACATTGTAAAATAATGCAGGCTTTTGTGGAGGGCAGTGGCTTGACTCAATTTCGAATCAAAATATTCGGGCCGGTATAAATAAATCATAGCTTGGAAGAGGCCTTTGATGAAAGGGCGGTGGTCGTCGCTCAGTGTGTGTTTGAATTTCATGTAAATAAACAACGTGTTGTATACGTCGCTATGAGTCCATATCGAACACCACGCGGCGCGACGTCTATCGCATTTTAATCCCAAGTTTAGGTGGCCTAACTACAGCATGATCAAGCGCTAGATTGCGTAACCGCAACTATCATTGACCTTGGAGGTACACTATTCCGATGAAGCAGACTACCTTTTCGTCGAAATTTGCTACGTACATAAAGGAAAACACCGAGAAACAACACGCTGAGGTCCGGCGTGTTGGAGACTTCTGACGTAACCAAACTGCCGGCCGAAATAGTATGTGAAATAATGTGTGAAAGTAGCGAAAAAAAAATGACGACGAGACTCCGTGCGAACTTCCTGTTATACTGCAATCGTTTTATAACCACAAATCGAACAGGTATACCTTCCTAGTTACTTTACTGAGTAATCATATTTAAAATGACTGAAGATTGGGTTTGGGCGTTCCGGTGGACGGACGTTTCGGCCAAGGGTTTCGACCAGGACGGACGTTTCGTCCTTGGTTCTCTTCGGTAAAATCTTCAATATTTGAAATTCGCGCATATCGTTATATGTGTTGGTATATGCTTGTATTTTGTGCATGTGTTTATAACCAATTTCAAGAGTAAGAGTCGTAACTTTCGAAGGTACAAGTATCGTGACTCGTCCATACATTTCGCTTACGTTCATTACACTTGATTAAAGTCCCCGCTTGAGAATGCTATTTACGAAGTTTAAAATAGCTAAGCCTTCCGGATTCGAGCCTCTTGGTTGATTTGACATCGATCGGTATCATTTATTCTAAAAAGTTGAAGATCGGTAAACATGAAATGGGCGAACTAAAATGTCTCCTGCGTTTCACGTGCGACATGTTTATTAAAACAGTTAAGCGAATTTATTTAGATATTGGTGCGTGAACTCTGGAGGTCATTGCCCATTGCCGCACATAATTCAAACACGTTGTTAATAGAGTTCATATTCATATTCACTTCATTTCAAATAAACTAATTCACCATTGGAACATCGCCCAAAAAGATGTCGCTGATCACTCAGTTGTCGCAGCGTGTGTTGTACCTAGTCCATGATACATCCAGTTTCGACTTTTGTAAAATGCGACAGTAAAAA